TATGTCTTGGGATTAGTTTGATCGATCCCGTAAGTAAACCAAAAACTTACCTTTTTGGAGATCAGCGGGTGTTTACCAAAAATAACGGTAAACAAATTGGCACACCCGATGAGACCTTGCTAATTTTCTAAGTTACTGCGTTTTTCCTGTACAGTTATAACATTGCATGTTATTAAGAACATTGCATGTTATTAAGAAGTGGTAGAGTAACCAACAAATATACTGTTAGGAAAGAAAATAGAGAGAGTAGTATGGCTAACGAGCTAAACCATGGAGAAATACCTCCACCGATTACAGGAACAACGGTTACTACTATTGTCGAAGGGAATATCCCAACTGCTGTTGGATCAATGCCAGCGTTAACCACGAATCAAACTGGACCTTTACTTTCGTATGTGGGTCCGAGAGGTCCTTTAGGAATGCCTCCACCAAGGATAAATCTAGGATCTCGATCAACTGTACCCCCAGGCTTTTCGACAACCTGGATGGGTCGAGAACAGCCGTATGGCATGCCAACTACTGAAATGGCTAGCCTTATGAATGTTGCATCCACTTTTTCAGAACCTTTGGTGAATACAACATCGCCATTACAAGGGTCTGGAGCCAGTAGAAACCAAATTTTGGGACCATCTCACATGATACCAAGCCTCACAAATGCTTCGACAACAATTTTGAGGCAACAAATGGACGAAAGTAATCATGAAATGGTACAGATGTTAGCACAAACTTTAAATACAGTACTAAGTCCCCTCATTCAGACTGCTACACAGTCGAATCAACAGATGACAGTGCAAATGACGCACATGGCTGAATTCTTTGGAGTACCCCAAGTTGTTCGACAATCCCAGAGGATACCAATAAGGGCAAATCAAGGGGTAATTATGGAAGAAGATTTGACCGTTAATCCAGACCCCCAGGTTCCTAGGGTAGAAGTAGAACAACCAAGGAGAGAGATAAGATTTGATTGATAAGAAATTAAGCTCAATTGATTCTTCGAGCTCTTAAATCTTAAAGGCATGATCTTGGGGCGGAGAAACGATTCCCACATGCTCACGAACTCATCAGTCACATCATCCTCCTCATTCGAGGGATATGGTATCGTAAACCACTCCGGACCAACTTTTCGACTGGCAAAAGGAGCCATAGTTGAAACAAAGCGCTTTCGCTCCGCAAACATCATTACAAAGCTTGTGAAAGCCTTCTAGAACTGTTGGCCTTCATCAGTGGGAGTTAGTAATGCAAGCCTGGTGCCCTCGACTCTCCTGTTTAGAATCTCAAGAGCCTCTTCGTTGATCTTGTTCTTCTGGGGAAAGAAAGATCCGAAGGTGTCATTGAGCCACAACTGGAGAAGCCAAAAGGGACCAGCTAGCAGCAAGCTCCCCCTGTCCCCTATAACCTTAAGTTGAGTCACACCATTACTGATGGATTCATATAAGTTGGCCAAAATCAATTCGGCCAGACAAAGGGAGTATTTGTGGTGCAGCTGCGTTGCGAGCGTCAACATCTTTTTCGTCACCTGCAGTGACTTAGTACAAAAAACAAATCGAGATAACCACATAGCCAAGAAGGCTATATGCTCCACCTCCGACACAGTGCTAGAAGCTTTGTCGTGGAAGTGGTTTATGAAGGTGGTATAAGTGGGTTTTGTAGCAGCGAACCCAATAGCGTCTTCAGACAAGTCTTCAGGGTCGAAATAGTCAACGCTTGGTCGAAGCCCAGTGATGGCAACTATGTCGAATAAAGTGGGGGTCATCATCCCACAAGGAAGATGGAAAGTGAAATGTGCACTATCCCAAAAGTACAAAGAAGATACCAGCATAAGGGGGCAGTAAGGCAATCCTGTCTTCGACAGCATCACCAGGTCATAAATGCCCATCTCCTTCCAAACAGAAGCTTGCACCCTCTCCATCTTACTCAGCCAGTCTGAATATTCAGAAGAAAGATTAGGGCTTGAGCGAAAGATTCGATTCCCTTTGTTCATGAACTGGAGGTTGATATCCTCTGTAGTCTGAGGATGCTGCTGGTTCGCCGGGGTGGCGTCTTCAGGGTCCTCCCTAGGTTTTTTGGTGTAACCTATGGGTCTAAGCCTTGGGTGTGTAGGAAAAATGGCGCGGTTTTTTAAGGGATTTTTGACGCATGAAGATAACGGACCGGACATAGCATACATGTTTCCGCCGTATCTGATGGGAATAAGGAGTTGAGAATCATCTTCTTCTCGCCATTCTTTCGTCATAGGTTCAGCAACATACCTATCAATCGAGGAAGAAGGAGGATTGGTAGAAAAGACCTCCGGTGGTTTCTGGACATCATCGGTGTTTTTGGGTTGAGGGTTGTTTGGAGCATTAGAGAGAAAAGCCATTGTTGAGGATTTGAGAGAAAGAGCGAAGTTGACAGTACAATATTGTGAGAATGCAAGGGATTTGGAAATGCTGGAAATGGTAAAAGTTCCAGATAAAAAGGCTTGGAAGTATTTATAGCCTTCAGAAGAGGGAGATGTCTCGTCAAGGTCATTTAATGTTTCATAGGTAGTGGGACACGTGGCGAAGCGCGAAACGGTTACCGTGCAGGCATTGGGAAACGTTAAGACATGCTTGCCTAGGTTATAAGAATATGGTCATCATGGCAAGCATGGTAACGACAGTTTTGAAGAGACATTTTGGAGAAAAAGTAATGATGGTTTTATCAAGTATAGCAGCTGTTGGAAGGCGAAAAGCACACGTCAAGACTTGTTAGACAACTGGGAAGATAGGTGTCGAATGGGAAGTTCAAAGAATGGCTATTTCTTTGAGCGTCGAAATAGACATTCTTGGGGGGTAATTTGTTGGCTCCCAAATTCGACACTTACTATATCTGGTCTTTTGGACCAAACAACTGGAGATGAATCAAACCAGGAGGTATGATTCGACACATGAAATAACTTAAGAGAAAAAAATCTGTTATGATAGGAATCTTCGACCAGGGGCTCATTCGATTGAACCAGAGTTATGTTACTCGACTGAGGGAAAGTGTTCACGCTTTGGCATAGGGATCGAAGACCATTTGAATTTTGAATTATTGGAAGGAAAGGCAGTTTTCATCAGCGTCTGAGAAGAGGCAACGTGGCAAAAAGCTATGGGTCGAGAGACATGCAGAAGACACTTGTCTTCATCCTAGCGCAGAATGTCCCCTCGACGGTTACCTACTTTTAGTATAAATTAAGAAACTTGTGTAATTTTCAAGTGTGTTCAACCTATTGTACTAAATCTCTCAAATATTATCCAAGTAACTACTGCGCGAGAAAGGATAAAGCTGAGCAATGTACGTTGGAAACACCTTTTTTACTTAATGAAAGTCTTTTTACATTACTTTACCATTATCCTGCAAAGTTATCTTTTTACTTCTTTTACTTGCATTTCTATGCTTTTGCTTACTTTTCAACAATCTCAAACATCCTTTCTCTGGGTCGAACGTGCGTTCTTCCTTCTTACTCATTTTACATAAAAATTAGCATATGTCCTGGGATTAGTTTGATTGATCCCATAAGTAAACCAAAAACTTATCTTTTTGGAGATCAGCGGTTGTTTACCAAAAACAACGGTAAACAGTAATATATTTGTATGAATGTTAATTGCGATATAAATTATAAAAATATTATTTAACAATTTTTTAAAATTTTTTTCGAGTTACATATTGAATTTATAAAATATTATAAGAAATTGGAAGTTAAATATAGAATTATATAAAATATAAAATTATATTATTATTATTATTATTATTATTATTATTATTATTATTATATAATTAATTGTGTTAATATAATTTATGATATTTTATGGGTCTTATTGTGTAAATTTTTTATACTACCATTATTAAAATAATAATAATAATATAATAAAAAAAATGTTATAAATCATGATATATATATTTTATCTAATTTAATAAATCTATTTAATTAAAAAAGTTCTTATATATGTAATATTATTAAAAAAATATTTTTATTTAGCAATAATAAAATTTATTTTAATATATATATATATATATATATATATATATATATATATATATATATATATATATATATATATATATATTATATATATATATATATATATATATATATATATATATATATATATATATATATATATATATATATATATATATATATATATATATATATATATATATATATATATATATATATATATATATATATATATATATATATATATATATATATATATATATATATATATATATATATATATATATATATATATATATATATATATATATATATATATATATATATATATATATATATATATATATATATATATATATATATATATATATATATATATATATATATATATATATATATAAAAGTATGTATGTATATATTAAATTAGAAATGAGAGATTTGTTAATTGGTATAATTTTGTGAGGATGATACATAAGCATGATGTTAGAGTTTTTATTTAGGGTTATTATCGTGATAACCTTAAATTTATATTAAGTAGATTAAAAATATGATGATTGAAAGTAATTTTTCTATAATAATTATATGAAGAGTTAAATATCCAATAATAGAATAAAATAAACTATTATGAATCATTCGATGACATACATATTTATGTGTAAAACTTATAGTAACACGAAAATAAATCACATACAATAATTTAAAAACGTATTCACCCTACAAATCAATGTTTATGTTAATAACAATGGCAAAAACAAAAACTAGAAAGGACAGCATCTTACCAGGCATATTCCCAAGTGTAATAAGAACGGATAGAATCAAATTAGTCTTTGCCCGAAATTGATGTAATGAAATAAAATAATATTATTATTTTGTTTTGTTTTCTATATACATATATCAACTGATTTAGACGTAAAATGCATGTCAAATTTAATATTATCTTTTAGTGAGAAAAAAAAACTCAATTAGTTTTGTTCAGAACACGAACAAAAAAATCACATTTGACTCTGAAGCTAGAGTGAAACAACTGACAAAAGCGATGCCGGAGGAAACTACGTCGATTGATTACGCCATGGAGGCGGCATCCGGGCCCCACTTCTCCGGTCTTCGACTCGACGGCGGCAGACTCTCATCTTCTTCCCCAACCTCTTCTCTCGCTCCCAATTCAACCCTAACCGCAGATTCTCTTCTCAATCAACCCTTCGTTATTGGTCATTCTCTCTCTCTCTCTCTCTCTCTCTCTCTCTCTCTCTCTCTCTCTCTCTCTCTCTCTCTCTCTCTCTCTCTCTCTTTATCTTTTTGAATTTGACCGGAATGAACAACGTGCGGTGATGGTGCAGGTGTTTCCGGTGGAACTGCTTCTGGAAAGACCACCGTTTGCGATATGATCATTCAACAGCTTCACGATCATCGCGTTGTTCTTGTTAATCAGGTACCGTACTACATTACACTTGATTCTTATTTGTTTCTCTTCGTTCAATCATATATTTTTTTTAATTATTTTTTTCTGTATAGGATTCGTTTTATCGTGGATTGAAACCGGACGAGTTGGAACGCGTTCACGAGTACAATTTTGATCACCCTGGTAATTAATTTAATTGATTAATCAATCATTTTAGCCTAGTTTAGAGTAAATTAGATACACTTTATTCCTCCACTGTCACTAATAATATTATCTCCGTCCTTAGATATAAAACCCTCTAGAGTAAATCACTAGAATTAAGAAAATTGGTTCAAGTATTAATTTTGTTAACTAGTTTTTATATAATTTTACATGTTTATCTTTAGGAGAGAGAATTATTTAATGTTTGGGTAAGAGTATTTAATGCAGATAATAAAATTAGGGGTATATATGTAAAGAAATGATTGATGCACCTTGAAATGTGAAGAGGGTCTTATAAAAAGAGACAGAAAAAATTCAAGAGTTTCTTATTATTAGAACCAGAGGTAGTAAAAAATGATAATAAAATTATATGAATGTGTCTTTTATTAGTCAATTTGGCTTTTGTATGTGTCTTTTATCGATTAGCTTGGTGTAACTTGTAAGGGTTGAAGATGTGGTTCACTCTACTTCGAGAGTAGAGAAGCGGCCTAAGAAGTGGCCTAAGAAGAAGATACAAAGAAAAGACTAATTTCTCATTTCATAATCAATGAATACAAACTTATATATGAATTTTTTTTAACAGAATTTGTAACAAGAAATAACAAAATGCTAACAAACTTATTCTAAATTGTATATTACTCTCCACTTTATCTAACCGAATGGATTTTATTTAGTTGTGGGCCTCCAAATCATAACATTTGGTCATCATATGCGATACTTTCTCTGTTTCAAAATGACTTTTGTTTAAGGTTTTTGCACACAGATTAAGAAATGCAATAATGTTGTCATAAAACATTGCACTTTTACTAAATTAACCTTATTAATGTATTGAAAGTAGTGTACAAAGTACTAACTAAAAGACACAATTGGAAAATAGTAGTCATTACTACATTGAAAAGTGAGAATGACATTCATTTTAAAACAAATTTTATTTGTTAAAACGACAATCATTTTGAAACGGAGGGAGTATTAGTTAGTTAGGTCTATGAAATTTCTAACTGACACTCATAAATGCTTTTGTAATTCCAATACATTTTGGAACTATATCTAGGGTCCAAAATAACGGTTTACTCTAGAGTTTAAAGTACATGCATTATGGGTGTAAATCAAAATTTTGTTCATTAGTTTTTGCCACATCATCCTATTTTTATATAAACTTATTTTGGAATTGATTGTATGAAGTAGCAAAGTAGTGATTTTTTATTGGATGGCGGTGGAAAACTAATGTACACTAACAGTCCTTTGAACGAGGCTCCTTTGTGTTTGTTTGTTGCAGATGCTTTTGACACAGAGCAACTGCTAGAATGTATGAAGCAGCTCATCAGTGGCCAAAGAGTTAAAGTTCCTATTTACGACTTCAAGAAGCATCAACGCTCTTCTGATAGTTTTCGCCAGGTATATGGTGTGGATTATGTACCTCTGCCTATATTGACATTGCCAGATGTTTTAAATTTTTTAATTTACTTATAGCTTTATATGTAGACATATGTATATGATGACAATTTACATAAAGATACTTGTGATTGTAACAAAAAAGAGAAGTCGCGTGTATTTTATCTGTCTATATCAAAATTTATTATTTTCCTTATGAACATGTTACAGATGTAATTTTTCCCTAACCAATGTCCAATTTTACAAAAAATATCACTACTCCTATTTAAAATAAGGCTTGACTCTATTCAATTGCTTACTATATACTGTCTAAAACTAGTTTGTATCATTTTCACCTCCCTCATTCTTATCATTTTAAAAAGCATAGCTTCTAAGTTTAATTCACCAAGAGACAACTCCATCAGTTCAAGAAGTTTGTATCCACGGTCATCAAATAGATCACGTGCATCTTCACTGGTATGCCGCAACGACGTCTATCCATTCTTATATGATATCATTAAATAATGAATTCTATACACAATAATAATGAACAAAATTGTACATAAACTATAGATATTCCTAAAGTATCAGAAACCGGATCTCAAATGTATCGGTCAATATTTTTGTTAAAATGTTGAAAAATTTGGAGGATATGCATCTAAGGAGGGCATCAAATCGGACCAGATTGAGTATGACATTGATACTTCAGCAATTTTGGAGTAGATGGGCTTCATTTGTGCCATTGACATTTTCCTTTTCCTATTTGAAGGTTTTTCTGGTTATTTATGAATAATTGACACGTGTAGTCTATGCTCAGGTCAATGCATCTGATGTCATTATATTGGAGGGAATTCTTGTATTCCATGATCAAGGTGTCCGTGATCTGATGAACATGAAGATCTTTGTGGACACAGGTTTGATACATTTTTATTTTCATGCCAACCCCATCCAGTGATGTGCCATGTCATGTGTAAATATTTAATAGTCTACGAATAGTGCAGAGTGTGTGAGATACGAAGTCTTGCGTTGCCCCCCTTCCCTTACTGTATGCCACATCTGTATAACTAAGCAAAATTTAGTTATGACTAAGTGTAGAATAAGGCACACTGGGTGTTGGATTAGGCTAGCTATAACTACACGAGTTCAGTTATGGTCGAGTCAATTAATCATTGTAACGGATTTCACGGAGTATGAGTCACTTTTTCAGTGAATTTTCTCTCATCCTACCAAGTGCTATGACTACTACTTATTTGGAACCATTTTCTGTCTCTTCATTTCTCCTACTACTACATTTTTGTGTTGCATTCATTAAGGTACTTGGTAAAATTAAGTACTTAGAAACATATATGAATCATTTGTTAAGAATGTGAAAATATAAACTCTTAGAAACAGCAAATCCACAACAAAGTTGATGTAGAACTGAAGCCGTGGATGAACCAAGGGGACACTAATTATTATCATAGTTTTTAGAATATTTGAAAAATTAAATGAGTAGAGTAACTTGGATTATATTTTTTAAATGTATAGGATTTAAACTTTTCTCACCAAAACCAATAAGCATTCCACTGATATACTACCTTCCCACGAGTAACTTTATTTCGTGAACTGCAACTTCCCTGATATATGGTCAGTGACATGATATAAGGGTTTAGTAAATTCATTTCTCTATATGTTCCCTACATACACGGTTCACCTCCTTTTCATTTCTGTCATTTTGTGCTAAATTCTTTGATTAGCTACTGGTCCTTGATTGAAGACCAATTGACAAGAGATTGGTATTATTTTATTTTATGCAGTGTTGGAAGCTACCCCACCCTTCCTCTCTTTGTTTAATAATATGTTTGGTTATTAATTTCATACAGATGCTGATGTGAGGCTTGCTCGTAGAATTAGACGTGACACAGTGGAAAGGGGCAGAGACATAAACTCCGTTCTTGAAATGGTAAGTCCGGTAATTTAATCAGCAATCACAATTTTACAACAGTTAGGTTAATATTTATAACTCTTTCATACCAAATATATATTTTTAAGAAAGCTTGACATGTAAAAAATATAGACAGTTTTATATTGCTTATTGCTTATGAGATGTGATCAATAGCATTGCATGGATATTCCTAACTTCCTTAGTGTTGGCTTTGGTAGTATGCAAAGTTTGTTAAGCCTGCTTTTGATGACTTCGTTCTACCATCGAAGAAATATGCTGATGTGATCATTCCTCGTGGAGGTGATAATCATGTTGCCATTGATTTGATTGTGCAACACCTCCGCACAAAGCTTGGTCAACATGATCTGTGCAAAATATATCCAAACGTGTATGTTATTCAATCTACATTCCAGGTATCTTTGAACATAATTTGTCAATTTTTTTTCTTCCATTTTAAATAATTGAAAATTTGTAGAAGATCCTACTTTTGTTACTCACCCAAACATATTGGGATTGGGATACCTTGGATTTTAATTTCAATTTAAGAAAAGTACTTGTTCTGTTATGATTTATGACAAAAGAAGAGTGAGTATTTTTTATAAGACATGTAGTTTGGTTGGTTTTTATGGTTAAGCTTATCATCAAGTCAATTTAGTAAGTTCCTAAATATTGAATAACCAGTCATAACTTTATATGTGTTTACAAAGAAGTGAGATGAAAATATGAAACAACTTCTGAGAGAGTTGAAGTGCATAGGCTAGTCTTAATTTATAAAAAAAAAAAATCGTTTAAAGAATCATAGGGTCTATTTGGCTTGTTTTATTTGAGCTTATCTATTGGCATAAACATTTATGAAAAACTTATTTTCTAAGTTGCTTTCAACTTATTTCTATAAGCTCTCCAGGACAACTTGTAAAAACAGGTTATGGATTATACAAAAACAGTTTGACTATCTTGTAAAATAAACAGATTGACTTATTTTATCTTGTTTCATAGAAATAGTTATTTCGTAAGCACTTATATGATAAGTGCTTATACTGTTAACATTTTAAATTTTCTTTTCCTATAAGTTCTATTGGAAAGGTTTATCCATTTTGACTCTTCCATGTTTAATTTGGACATACAATCAAGATTTTTATTAGTTATGGTTATATATTTCAGATAAGGGGGATGCATACATTGATTCGTGACACAGAAATATCAAAGCATGATTTTGTATTTTATTCTGATCGACTAATACGCCTGGTACTGTATGCTTTATCGCTCTGATGAACATTTTTACTTAATGAGGTTTTAGTACTTACACCTTTGCTGGTTTTGGTCATCAGGTTGTTGAGCATGGTCTAGGTCATCTTCCTTTTACCGAAAAGCAAGTTGTTACTCCAACAGGCAGTCATCTCTCTTTGTACTCAGTTCTTGCAGTTATTCACTTTTTATGTTAATATCATCCTCTCTTGTGTGGGGAACAATATTTGTGCTTTGTGAACTGGAATGTGTATGGCAAAGAAGCAATAGGACACAAAGTGATTCATGTTGACACCATTAATTATCTAAAATGAGGCTTATATTACAGGATCTGTCTATACTGGTGTTGATTTCTGCAAGAAATTATGTGGTGTTTCAATTATTCGAAGGTGAGCTAAGCTCTGAACTTGGTATTAATTTCCACAGGTCTATTTCAAATGATAGGTTGCTCCCATAAATGCAAAAGTGCAACTGATAAAATTAGTTCCTTTGTTACACTCTCAGATGCTTGCCATCTAGAATATTGAATCCTTGTACTAGAACTTATTCACTTTTGCTTTCTATCTTAGGCTGTTTCCAGTTGGCTGAATTTTTTTCGTTGTCCTTTTATTATAGTGGTGAAAGCATGGAAAATGCACTTCGTGCATGTTGTAAAGGCATTAAAATTGGAAAAATTCTGATACACCGGGATGGAGACAATGGAAAACAGGTAGGTAAATTATTTGGAATCCATGAAGTTGAGTAGGGCAGCTTTCATCTATATGTTTACTATGGTAGTTTGTATTTAATGGTAATACTTCTCTGAGCAGCTTATCTATGAGAAGCTTCCCAAGGATATCTCAGAACGGCATGTCTTGCTTCTTGACCCTGTCCTTGCTACAGGTGAAATGTCCTTCCACTATTAACTGTTCCACTTAATCTTACTATATTATGAAAGGCTTTATTTGCTTAACTCTTGATAGAAGTGGTAATCGTTGAGATAAAAAGAGAGAGAGAGAGAGGGAGGGAGGTCCTGTTAGTATTTATATAGCAGTCTTAAGTAACTAACTCTCAACAGAATTCAGTTAGTTGTAACTTGTAACCAATTCCTAACTGAATTCTGTTGGGAACAATCCAATGGAAAATTCTGTTGGGAACAATCCAATGGAAAGGGAAAAGGAATTGGATTAAGTGTGAACTTGTCAATTATTCTTAGTTTGGTCCTTAGTGTTACAGACTTATTTGTGGATAAGGGCTTGGTAAGTACATTAGCAGCAGGAATGTCTGACACTACCAAGCTCTTATTAATCACTTTCCCTCTGACATAAAAGATGTCCACTCGATTTGTCCTGGATTGTAGTACATGATTTTGTGCAAGAGACACTGCACTTAGATTATTAATCAGAATTTGAGGGACTTGATGCTTGACTTTGAGTTCCTGTAACAGTGATTGAAGCCATAGGATTTCTGCAGTTGCATGAGCTAGGCTTCTATATTCTGCCTCAGCACTGGATCAGGCAACCGGTGTCTGCTTTTTGGCTCACCAAGACACAAGATTAGGTCCTATGCTCCAGAAGTGGGTCTCTTGTCATCTGGGTCAGAAGCCCAGTCAGCATCACGAAAATCCCTGTGATGGTGATAAGTAATAGAAAATCCCTGTGATGGTTGCGCCTTGAAGATACCTTAGGATCCTTTTAACAACTTTCCAATGTTCTAGGGGATTAGAAAGAAATTGGCAGACTTTATTTACAGCATACGAGATTTCATGTTTAGTCACTGTGGCATACTGAAGGCCACCAACAATGGACCTGAAATTAGTGGGATCAGTAACTTGTGCAGAACCAACTTTTGACAATTTTGTGCTTGAAGCCATAGGTGACGCAGCACACTTGGCAGTGGCCATGTTGGTCTTGTTTAGGAGACCCCTAATGCACTTGCGCTGAGATAGCAGCAATGACCCATTGGAGAGATGATGAACTTCAATGCTAAGAAAGTATTCTAGCTGACCAAAGTCCTTGAGTGAAAAGGAGAGATTTAATTTGGTGATAAGTTGCTGAATGAATGCTTTGGATGGACTAGTGCTGATTATATCGTCAACATAGACAAACACTAGGGTATACTGAGATGGAGTGTTAATACTAATATAGGTGAATTGGTTAAGTTACTGAGGTTAGGTATAGTGTTGTGATTGGGTGTGGTATGAGTTAAATTGGGTGGGGCATTGTGAGGAAATTGGGAAGAAGATGATACAACAGGCCTAGGTGATATTGATTCTGACAGAGGTTGACTCTGACGGGGAGGGAACAATTCAGGATAGGGAAAACGACTTCCATTGAATATAACATCTTTAGGGATGAAAACACGGCCACTAGGATCTAGACATTTGTAGCCTTTGTGGATAGGCGAGTAACCGAGGAAAATACATCCTTAGAGACTAGAGTGCATTGTTAGTTTATGAGAGATATAAGGTCTTAGGTGGGGAAAACAAGCATAATCAAAGGCTTTAAGAAATTTAGTCAGGAAATTGAAAGTTCTAAATGAAGAAAGGAGAGGAGTTGGCTAATGAAGGAGAGGGTAGTCTATTGATAATAAGTTAGTAGCCAGCCAGCCGCCGGGATAAAAGCAAAAGCTTACCTTTTTGTTGTTTGCTTTAAAAGAGCAACATTTTAATTATATAAAATACTATTTTCTAGTCAGTTGGTTATATGAGAGGAGACGGTAAAAATATAATTCAATTTGTTTTTCAATTGTATTAGCTAGCTTAGATACCACATAATCAGGTAAAAGCTGAAAGCAGGGACTAATGATTTGTAAGAATCATGCTCAACTTATGGTTTACTGAATCCATTTTTTCTGCACTGTTGATGAATGAGTAATTATAATTAGTATCAATGATTTTATTGTAGGTAACTCAGCCAACCAAGCAATTGAACTACTCATTCAAAAAGGAGTGCCAGAATCCCACATTATATTCTTGAATCTCATTTCTGTGAGTTTATTTTGATGCTTTTCTTCACGAATACAATCATGGTTATTTAATTAGAATTTCACTCTATTTACATGCACTGATTGTGTGAATCTGTGATTTCAGGCTCCTGAGGGCATCCACTGTGTGTGTAAAAGGTTCCCATCATTGAAAATTGTCACATCTGAGATTGATGTTGCATTAAATGAAGAGTATCGTGTTATTCCAGGATTGGGTGAATTTGGTGATCGCTACTTCGGCACCGATGATTGATCCTGCAGCGTGTCGAGTGGTGGATACATCTTTTAGTCCACATATGTCTTGGCTGCATCGTATTGAAATGTTAAAGATTTAGCAAATGGCTGCTATGTGATTTGAGGCAAGCAGATTAGAATAATATGAATGCAAACTCATTCTTTGGCTGATATGCATGATTGGTTTTCAGTTTATTGAATGTAGAGATAAATTCTAGTTTGACGATGATGCTATCATACAAAAGTTCTGAGTAGAGACAATTCTATCTAGTTCAGCCAAGGTTATTTGGAAAAATATTGAATAAGCACCAAACTCAAACTAAATCCACCTTGATCACTATATGCAAACTCATTATATTCCACTAATTTTATTATATTATATACGGTTATTACTTTTAAAATACAATTAATTTATATTTTATTTGCCAATAGCACCTTTTATTCTTATAAAACTAGCCAGGTACTTGTCCATTCACATAACTCCCTTCTATTCTTTTTCTTTCTTTTTTGCATATTTGAAACAAACTTGAATATAAATAATTAAAAAAGAAAAGAGAAGTACTATGAAATCAATTCAACATCTAACCAACACTTAAGTGTATTTTCCTATCCAATTAGCAGCAACAATGACGATAACAGTAAGTACCCCATTTGCTTGGGTAAACCTTTGGTCTCGTGGCTGAAATCAATGAAAATTTACCCTTTCTCAATCCAACAACAAAAACGTCACATAATCAAGAAAAAGCATAGGATTATGAAAGAGCTTGAAAACATAGCTGGCATGGAAATTATTGTTGAATATGGATTTTAGGAATGTCTTTTCCTAAATTGATGAGTTTAAGGTAAGCAGTGAAGGAATTTGTTATGGGAGTTATTGATTAAAGTTGTGATTGTGTAGACATAATCAACTATGAATCAGCCCTGATTTGGGATAAGATTATGCAAATAATGAAATAGAACATCAGTGTTTGAATTCTCGAACTTGTAACCATTTGGGTTGAGCAGACGTAATACCACGCACTCCGACGACGAACTGCTAGAGTTTCTACTGTCGAAGAGGTACATGATCCTTTGGAGTTACCTGTTCCTGTGGATGTGCATGCTCTTGTGATTGAGCCAGCTGCTAAGGAGGCTGTTGTGGATGAGGGGGTTATTGAGGGAGCTTTTATGGAGACGCTTGTTGAGTAGGTTATTATTAAGTCGGCTGATGAGGTGTCTTCCATTAACACAGATGCCACGACTCGTGCGTCTACGGAGCCATCAGTTCACACTGTTGGAGCCTTTTCAGGAGAACTTTCAGACAGGTCCGTGCTGACATAATTTTTTGAGCATGTTGCGTACAGGATATGACAGAGCGAAGTATATATTTTGCTTTCTTTATTGCAAATTTATCATGACGGCTCATATATCAAGTGTTTGAACGTTGATGTATAATTTTTTTTAACTTTGCTTCTTACAGGAGCGTTTGATGCTGAAGGTCGCGTTCCATGGTTCGAAGTTGAAGAACTTTCCAAAGGGTGTGATGCCTGAGGAGGTCAGGCATATTATTTCTGATTTTCATCTGATGTAGTTCAGAGTGCTCCTTAACCATGCTCGACGCCTCCCTCCTGCCAGCTTTTGTTGAAAGGTGGCACCCAGAGACATCATCCTTTCATCTTTCATTTGAGGAGATGACGATCACATTGGATGATGTTGACGCCTTGTTTCACATCCCGGTCGTTGGTGCATTCTTCACACCTCCTCATATTAACCATGTGACGGCGGTGCACATGATTATGGATGATTTAGAAGTATTTGAGGCGACAGTTCTAGAAGTGTTTGGCTTTAACCTTCGAATGTCTTGGTTGAGGAAATTGTACGGGGAGTGTAACACCCCAATTCTACCCGACAATTATTATAAAAATCAGAGTTATAAAAGTTCAACAACTAAATCAGGATGTTACAATTTCAACTTAAAACAACGACATTTATTACAGATACATAACACATTAACGTTGGATGAACCAACAACAACACAAATTAATCTTTTGAAACTAACAACTTTCATAACTACACATCAGAATCATAATATTCAACTAAAAAGGACATAACATCTTTGTCCGACTGAAACAACCTTAAAACAATAAAGTACATCAAAGTTCAGCAACAGAAGTAAAAACAACAATAAAGCAATAAGCGTTCATCCTCCCGAGTGTTACGTATCAGAGCAATGACACCGACTCGAACTAACGAAGGTAAACAACCTTCACTCTAGATTACCTGCACATTACCAACATATAGGTAACATTCAAACAGAAGGGGTGAGATATCAAACAATATAATCGGATGTACAATAAATAATATATTATAATTAGATCATACAAAATCATCGCTTTACAATTTATAAACAACAACAATCACAACAAAAAATAATCGATTAATTTATCAACACAACAACTCAAATATGCAACGTGGAATGCAACCTATTACTATGCACATGCATGTGGTACTAATGGAGAAGAACTCCCAACTTAGAAATCATCCAATAAATAGAGACATCAAAAAGGCATAAGCCTTCAACTTTATGTTTGTCAATCCAAGCCAACTTAACGAGCATCAACTCCAACATGATATACTATATATGCATTAACAACATGAACGTCATAACAACAACAATAATTCAACTTAATTCAACATTGGCCATAAGCCTACAACTTAGTCTTAACTAATAAGTAGAGGCAATTACAACAATATATTCATTCACCTGCACCTTCAACAATTAATAGCAACAACATCACAATAACTTATATATATCAATACTATTATCGACCAAGTCCTATTAATAATATTCCACTAAAATATTCCACTGACCAATCATTTTTAGTTGAATCAATGAAGTTATTAATTTCTGACACTAATTTACCTCTACTGCTATTTTAACTTATAAAAGCTTTTCTGTTATCTTCTGCTATTACTACCCTACTACTATTGAGGTCCTTCTGCTAAATATCTACTAATTTTATTTTCTATACATTACTGCTACTAACAATTATCATTATGGTGTCTGCTATTATTAACTTTATGCTAACATTTATTAACTCTGTTACTTATTATTGTTAACTCGGTAACTAACCAATTACCTGTGCTACATGTACACCAACTCTGCTAAATGAATTGAATTAATAACTCTGCTACTTTAATTAATCTTTTGGGATACTATGGTGCCCCTCGGTACACACACATGCCACTCGGCATCCACACCATCAAACTGTGCCACTCGACACACCCTTTATGACGATCGCCACAACCGAATTACCCGTGCCCCTCGTCACACTAACCGTGCCGCTCGGCGCGCCTCCCTTTTGCCTTTGTGCCGATCGACACACATACCATGACACTCGGCACAACATGCTTTCACACCGCCTCTTCACAGACTTCAGTCTGTTACTAATACCAACATAATTCTCCAAATTTTCCTTCGATTATCAGTATTTTCACAACAACATGATACAACGCAATATGCAACAAATAGATCAATAAAAGAAACAATTGTCAACCAAGATATTTCATCGATTGTACAGAATAACTATGCAAACAATTTCAGAAGTAACCACAACATAGTAACAACCAAATTCAGACACAACTACAATGATTATACGTACAACAATTATACTCACCCAACTCCTACATACACTATTTATCATAATTCCCATTATAGAGTCAGAACCCCACCCTTACTGTGGATTGAAGGTTGCTCTAATTGACCTAACTTTGCCTCTTTTTCTTTTCCTCTTCTCTATAACTTCTCACGTACTGCTCTAAGACTCCTTGTCTTTTCTAATTAACCTAATTTCTTATTATTATAACTAACCTAATAATAATATTATTCCTAATGGGCTCAACTTACACACCCCACCTATTACTACTTCCAACCAATAATATAAGTCCAACACAATTATTCCATTAATTCCTACATTATTATTATTATTAATCAACTAATTAATTAATTAATTAATTAATAATAATCTAACAACTTATACCAACAATTCTCAATATATCACAATTTTTCAACAAATAATCCAAAAATAATTTAATTAAACGATTAATTAAATTAACGGGCGTTACAATTCTCCCCACTTAGAATATTTTCGTCCTCGAAAATTTACCTTATTCGAACAACTCAGGATAGGAATCCTGCATCTTGCTTTCCAACTCCCACACCATGCTTTCTCCGGTAGCTCCTAACCAGCCTACTTTCACCAAAGCAATCTCTTTGCCTCTTAGAGTCTTCATTTCACGATCTGCAATTCGCACAGGCATCGTCTCCATAGTAAGATTATCTCGTACTTGAACATCATCCATATGAATCACATGAGATGAATCTGAAATATACTTCCGGAGTTGTGACACATGAAATACATCATGCAAATTCGAAAGTTTAGGCGGTAAAGCCACTATATAAGCAACATTCCTAACTCTGTTTGAAATCTGATATGGACCAATAAAATGAGGAGCGACTTCTTAGACTTCAATACTTTCCCAACACCAGTCACAGGTGTGACTCTAAAAAACACATGGTCACCTACTTGAAATTCCAAATCTTTCCTTCGTCTGTCATGGTAACTCTTCTATCTACTTTGGGAAGCTTTCATATTTTCTCGAATTAACTTCACCTTCTCAGTGGTTTCTCGAAATATTTCAGGTCCAAGCACTACACTTTCTTCCAATTCGTACCAACATAAAGGAGTTTTACATCTCTGGCCATACAACGCTTCAAAAGGTTCCATTTCAATACTAGAATGGTAACTGTTATTATAATTGAACTCTATTAATAGAAGATAAGTATCTCACGAACCTCCTTACTCAAGAACACATGCTCACAACAAATCTTCTAACGACTGAATAGTCAGTTCAGTCTGACCATCCGTCTGAGGATGATACGCCGAAATCAACCTCAACTTAGAATCCAACGCCTCTTGCAAAGTCTTCCAAAAATATGAAGTAAACCTCAGATCTCTATCCAACATAATACACAAAGGA